ATTATGAACAGTGACCTAGAAGATGACCATGTGGGTTTGAGATTTTTTTTGGGGGGGGAGTGTAAAAAAAATAAATGCTTGGCATTCTCATTGGAAGGGTTATGCTTCAGTCGCCCCAGTCGGCCAATATTTCTGTCAATTTACCTGACAACACTGGCCATTCATTTTTATGTTTATTATAACTGGAATAGAAAAGCAGTACTGTACCTAATATCCCTCACCTTCTGAATGCTGTGCTAATAATGTACTAGAGTCTCTGTCACGGCTGCTTCTCTACTGTTACTCATAATGCTCATTAAGAATGAAAACTCATACCATCAACTTCTGTCAGCTTGCCCTAGTCCAGATGAGTTAACTCAGTTTATGTTTTCATTGGGTTCTTTTTCCCTCCGGAATGTAAAATAATCCATTAAGCTTGTTTCTGGAAAGGCTCTCATTATGAGCAGGACTTGCAGGCTGTTATGCTAGGGTTTATTTATGCATTTATTTATTCAGTATTTCTTTTCTTCTTGTTTTATTACATTGCATTCTTAAATTCTACCATTTATTTCTTGATTGCATTTTTATCTAGCCCTTCATCTTGGAAGGGTGAGGGACCCGAATCCACATCCCACCCCACTTTATCCTCACAATAACACTGTGAAGTAGATTAGGCTGGCAGAATGATTGGTCCCAAAGCTTCATTGCTGACTGGGGATTTGAACCAGGCCCTTGTCCAACACTCTAACAATTGCAACACACAGCCAAATGTTAAATGCATCTTTAAAAACATCTTTTAAAAACGTAGTGAAGCATTCGGCATCCCATTCATCAACAAAAGGTTCCCAGAGCAGCTTCTAATGCAAAATATAGTACAAGAAGAAGGCAAGCTTGAATTCCAGTGGATCTAAAATGCCTGGACGATAGGGAGTTTTAACGTGCTGTCAAAAATACAATAAACTTGGTGCCAGGCAAACCTTTCTTTCTTTCTTTTTTCTTTCTTTCTTTTTTAAATAATTTTTATTGATTTTAACATATAAATTATAAAATGTACCACAAAACTTATCACTTATACAATCTTTTTAGACTTCCATCAGCACCTCTGATGATCCACCATTTTAACCACTTCTTATGCATTTCTTAACTTTATATTGCCTTTACATCTCTTAACAAATCACCCTTCCCCTTCTCCATTTTTGAAATACTTCCAATAATACTCCTCACAAAACTTCTTGCAAACTTACAAACGTCGTCTGATCTTCACAAATACTTTTCAAATAGTCTGTAAATTTACTCCAGTCTTCTGTGAATTTTTGGTCCCGCCGGTTTCGAATCCTTCCTGTTAGTTTATCTAGTTCTGCATAGTCCATTAACTTCATCCTCCATTCTTCAATCGTCAGTAATTCTTCTTGCTTCCATTTTTGGGCCAATAATATTCTTGCTGCTGTTATTGCAGCCAGGGAAACCTTTCTGGGGAGAGAGTTCTGAAGGTGGTGGCATCACTGTAGGTCATACCTTATCCTCAGTCAACAAACTCTTCGCCTATGATTGTTGAAGGACTTGGAAAGGAGATCCCAAGGCACTTCTGCATACATGAGCATGTTTGAAATAAGGACAGACAGGTGCAGACAACAGAGGAAGTTGCCTTGTGCCAAGTCAAACCATTCGTCCATCCAGCTCAGTGCTGCTGACTGGCTGACTAAGTGTGGTTCTCTGAGGGTTTCAGGAAAGAGTCTTTCCCATCCCTACCTACACACACTAGGGATTGAACCTGGAACCATTTTCAGGAAAAGGATGTGGTCTATCACTGACCTACAGACCTTTGCCTTGTAATGGAGAGTTGCTCCGTTAGAAGCCAGTATACCACCACCATTCCCTCCATGTGGAACAGCGTCCAGATGCAATTGCCCTTCCTACATGTGTTGTCTCATGACCCAGGTATCCACAGACACTTCCTTGAAATGACAGCCTGTCCAGCCCGCAAAAGCTAGTGTGTGCTGGAATTGGCATAAGTCTAGAGATGCATAATGGTTTAGGGTGAGATCCAGAAAGAGTTCTGCTTGAAGTAAAATCTTGCACCATGTCAGAAGGGGGGAGGCAAACATGGCCTGGTGTGAAGGGTCTCTTACTAGCACCCTGAACTATTTCTCTCTTCCATAATTATTTCATTAATGGCAAGGCCAAGGTGTAAAACCCATCTTTTGTGCTGAATCTAATCAGCGCTGTCTGACGATACTACATATCTCATAATCTCTAATATTACACACAATGAAATCAAAAGTTAAGTAATACTATGGAGGGGGAGATATTATTTGGACAGAGTTTTATTACTTGGATATTGATATATTTCTGGCTGGATAAAGCTTAGCATAGGGCTGGAAATGTTTCATATTGTCCTGTACAACTGTGATTTGAGAAGGTTCAGAAACTAAAAAGGAAGAATTTACTATTGCAATCCCATTAAAACCATTCCATTTCACTACATATGTTATGAGGGGGTTGTAAAGAAATGTATGAGCAAAACTATGAACTGCAGTAAATAGAACTGGAAAGCAACAAAACAATTGGTTTGTTTAAGAAATAATGCAGATTGAATAGGGTGCTTTTGAAGCATAATGCCCTATTGATGAAAGATAACAAGAGGAGTGAAGCTGAGACATTGATGGGAAAACTATCAGAACATACCCAAACATTATTTTCAAAAGTAGGAAACATTGATCCTATAATTACGCCTGATTGCGTTGTGTATTTTTCCCCCTCCACAAATAACTGATGATACTTCTGATGCCAATATGAGTGAATCAAAGTTTCTTGCTGGTTACGTGCTGAATAGCTATATTTTCAATTGAGCTATTACTACTAATGGTGAGTTGAAATAGGAGTGCTTTTTGCCAAAGCTTTCACAAAGGGCCACCTCTTTTTATGAGTTTTCAGGGGACTGCCATCAAGTTCCATATTGTCTGCACTGACTGGCAGTGGCTTTCTAGAATTTTAGAGATGGAGTCTTTCCCACCCTTGTCTGGAGATGCCAGGGATTAAATCTGGGAGATGCCAAGAGTTGAACCCGGGACCCTCTGCATGCAAAACTGCTTATTCCCAGGTAAATGTGTTCACTGAGGCAACAGGAGCAAACTCCATTTTATTCCTGTCGTCATGCTTGGACCATGATTTAAGTGAGCTTAAAATGTGAAATCGCACAAAGAGGGTGGTATTCAACTAAGTTTTATTCAGAGTAGACCTAATTTCTATGAGTAAACTTTGGGTAAAATTTAGTTGAATGCTACCCAGAACATTAAAAAAAAAAAGGAATAGCAAACAGGAATGTGGAAGGCATTCTAAAGAATGAAATGGCAGTGAAGAAAAATGTGGGCTGTGGACTTCACAATTGAAATAAAAAAATCTAAATATTATTTATTTTATTTTTATCTGTTACATTTATATACCACCTTTATCTTCCAAGGATGGTGTACATGGTTCTCCTCCTCCTCGTTTCACCTTCATAACAACCCTGTGAGGTAGGTTAGGCTAAGAGATTGTCACCCTACCCCCCCCCCCCCGCAATCCCAACTTCAGGGTCTCAAATTATCTATCTTTGCATTTCCCATACTTAATGCCAATAATAGTAATAATAATAATACTTTATGAAGCACATTGTGAAGGAGGAATTTAAAAGGAATAGACGACGTTAGAGGACAATGTTGGCTCTCAGAATGGGCTGGATCAAAAAGCTCTCTTCCTTTTCATAGAAGAAGTATTTCCTTCAGTCCTAGGGAACCTTTGGATTCAAGATTCAAGAGTGTTACTCAACTCTTCCCCTATTTAAAGGTGAAACAATCCTTCGTCGAGTTAATGGTCATCTAGCTGAGGGAAAGGCTGGTGCTGCTGAATCCTAGTGCAGAGCAAAGTAGTGGTAATGTTGGCTCTAAGTGGGACGGGTACCCAGCTGCTTTGGAATCTTAAGCACCATCCATGTGACTGATATTATTCCTGCACCCATGTATCTAGTTCAGAGCACAACACTATCATCAAACTCTGCTTCTGTCTTCAGTCCAGCATTTCACCTGTGGTCATAAAGTGTGACAGATGCACCCATAAGTCCTTGCTGTAGGTACAAAATAACAACGAGCTGATATATCATTTGAGGGACCCAGTTTGCTCGACTCTCTGATCCTCTCTCTCTGCTCTTTTATCTATGCATTACTTAATCATATTGTGTAGTAGCCTCTTATTGATTTCTTATTGGCTGCACTTCATAAAATGGCTCGCTGGAGATAAGGAATCCTTTTCACCCACCTTGCCCAGATTACAGATCTTTATCGCTACAAAAGCACATAGCTCAAAGTCGGGGGGGGGGGTTGCAGTGTTTAGTCTGGAAAGAAATCAAAGCAGTATGGGTCAAAAGAAGGAGGGGGCCAAGTGTTTTGCTTACCTGGAGGATTTCTGTTTTGATCGCAGACTCAAATCTAAAGAACTACAATGGATGTTTAAGGAGTACTAAAGGTTCTCTTTTTTTCTTAAGTAATTTACTATCTCTTCACTTTATCTTCTAAAAGGTTTTATTTGAATGCTGTGCTCCTTACTGCCATTACAGGTCGCACTGAGTGACTATTTGTTACATACGCTGGCCATATTACATAATATAGTGTTATAGGATTGGGTGGGGGGTTGGTCTGGATGATATCTGTGGATCCCTTCAGAGTCTGTGAAAATCTAACCAAGGAACCTGCTGAAGTCATCAGACCAGTGCTACTTTTCTAGAAAAAGAGGTGCCGGAACTTACCACGAACACCTCCCTTGTTCTCTTATTTACAGTGGTACCTCAGGTTACAGACGCTTCAGGTTACAGATGCTTCAGGTTACAGACGCTTCAGGTTACAGACTCCGTTAACCTAGAAATAGTACCTCGGGTTAAGAACTTTGCTTCAGGATGAGAACAGAAATCACATATTGCAGCGGAAGTGGGAGGCCCCATTAGCTAAAGTGGTGCTTCAGGTTAGGAACGGACCTCCAGAACAAATTAAGTTCTTAACCACTGTATAATGGCAATGGCGCCCACCTGAGAGGTGCTGCAACTGAGTTCTGATGAGCTCTGGCTGAAAAAAGCTGTGGTGATACACATCCTGCTTCTTTGTCTCGGTTATACATGCCAGCCTGGCACATTCTTTCTGAATTATGTCCCAGATGCTCAACACCTTCCCATTGGCCACCACTGCATTCAGAAGAAACATCTTAGGATCTGAGGGGACCATATTTCAGCCCCAAATGTTATCAAAGTTGGAAGACGGTCTGGAAGGAGAGACAAGATGCATGTCTGCCTTGCCATGCATCTACTTGCTGTGTTTGTCTCCCACCCACCCATAGTACCTTCTGCCCCCTATGCAACCCCTATAACGGCTCCTCTTCAATTGGTTTAGATCTTCCCTGTTTTTTGAGAACTCTGCCTGCAAAGACTACAGACGTTTTCCAATCGCCATCACTGCAGGCAGAAAAGAGGACTTCATTTTCCAGAAGCCCAAAGTGAGCAAATCTTTTTACTGAGATTTCTTGAGCTCTCCTTGCCAGTATAATGGCAGCTGCTGTGCATTAAGAGTACCGAATAAGAGGAAACATTGATCTAATCTGAGCGCTGCTTAAGCTTTCACTACTGGCAGGTAGAGCCACCTGTGGGTCGGCACACTTGCACAGCTTGAAATCTTTATTGCTCTGCCATTTGTAACGGGGCTGAGCATTTTAAGCGTTTAATCACTGATATGCGGTTGGCAAATGGAGCAGCCAGCTTTTGATGGCTCGTTTTGCATGCTTTCAGTGCTTTTGGCGTTGCCGTCTCCGACTTCTATTCAGACCCATTTTGGGGACCTCTGTTCTAAAATGAAAAGTGACATCAAACTGTTAAGTGTTTCACTCCAGCCTTGAGACAGAGAGAGAGATAGTCCTGCCAATGAAGCCCTTGTGGCTGTCAGTGGAACCCAGGCTCAGTTGATGGAGGGAAGGCTGCCTGCTCAGCAGTATCTGCTGTGACTTTTCCCCTTTTGGCAGAAGCAGATTCACACTAGCCAGCTTAAATTTATTGGTAGTTGCTATGTTGCAGGGTGGTAATGCTCTCCAGTGGGTATTTGAGGGTCAGATTGTCCTTAATGCTGCCTGAAAAGTGCTGAAGAGTTCTAGAGATTTAGGGTGGTGGAGGGGTAAAGCAGAGCAGCAAGTGTGCTTTTTAAAAAACAAAGCTTTTAACTTAAAAAGAAAACTCTCCTCTGCTCTGCTGTATCAACAACATAAACCATTCAGAGCTCTTAAGTGTTCTGCAGGTAATATATATATAGGGTCGTGGGTGGTGCTGTGGTTTAAACCACTGAGCCTCTTGGGCTTGCCGGTCAGAAGGTCAGCTGTTCAAATCCCCACATTGGGGTGTGCTCCCGTTGCTCTGTCCCAGCTCCTGCCAACCTAGCAGTTTGAAAGCATGCCAGTGCAAGTAGATAAATAGGTACCGCTGCCGCGGAAAGGTAAACGGCGTTTCTGTGCGCTCTGGCTTCCGTCACGGTGTCCTGTTGCGCCAGAAGTGATTTAGTCATGCTGGCCACATGACCCAGAAAGCTGTCTGTGGACAAACACCAGCTCCCTCGGCCTGAAAGCAAAATGAGCCCCGCAACCCCATAGTCGCCTATGACTGGACTTTACCTTCCAGAGTTCCTTTACTTTTACCTTTACCTAATATATATAGACAGCCTCAATACCTGAAAAACCCATGGACCTGAGACCTGGACAGCAGGGGAACATTTGGCCCCATCTGGAATCCTAAGCATATTCATTTATTTTAAAGTGTGTAGCTACAAATACACCCATACACCCCAATATACCTTCCAAGTGCCCCAGGAAAAAAATGGGACATCTCGGTGGTCATTTTGGGTGCCGTGCTCTCATGCTGGGTCTCCCCACCCCCCAGGCCCGTGCTTTTTTCTGGGTGAAAGCAAGGTGCGTTGGGCTAGAGATTTTGGATATAATATACAATTTGATGATTGGGAAAAACTATGGAAGGAAAACTTAAGATTTACTGCTTGTACAGCGTTAAAAGAAAATGTCATGAAAATGTTTTACAGATGGTATATCACACCGGTAAAATTAGCAAAAATGTATAAGACCTGTAATAAGTGCTGGAAATGTAAAGAAAAAGAAAGAACGTTTTATCATATGTGGTGGGAGTGTAAGAAAGTGAAGGGCTTCTGGGAGATGATATATAACGAGATGAAAAAAATGTTGAAGTATACATTTGTTAAGAAACCAGAAGCCCTACTTTTAGGGATTACAGGAAAGGAAATAAGAAGGAAGGATTACAAACTTTTTCAATACGCAGTTACAGCAGCAAGAATTCTACTGGCCCAGAAGTGGAAACAAGAGGAAATACCGACGAAAGAAGAATGGAGGATGAAATTAACAGACTATGCAGAACTGGACAAGTTAACAGGGAAAGTTAGATATCTTCAAGACCATAAGTTCATCGAGGACTGGGGGAAATTCATGGAATATCTGAAAAGTACATGTGAAGTACAAACAACGCTAGTGGGGTTTAAAGAAGCACTGTAAAAACTGAGGTATATTGTTAAAAGAAAATGGATGGTTGGAGGGGGGACTAATGGCAATATAGAACAGAAGAAATGCGTAAGCAAGAGTTAAATATGGATGATTGTCAGAGAAGTTGAAGGAAGTCCAAAAGTGTGGAATTTGTGAAAATTTGGATTAAAACTATATATTTATGTTAAAAAATTAATAAAAAGTATTTTAAAAAATGAAAGCAAGGTGTGTGTCATGTGACTCACCTTGGGAGCACATCCTGGAAGATGCGTGCCCAGGTTTAGCATTGGAAAAAGTCGAAAGGTATGAGCTAGCCAGCAAGAGGTTTAGGGTGATATTTGAGACAGGCGGCTCCGACGATTCCTGCTTGTTCTGATCTAATGATGATGCTTCTGCAAATGTTACAAGGTATGGAGAGCGAGTATATTTGGGGCTTTCAACATGTCACAGATCTCACCGAAACATTTTTAAAAGCCTTTTCAGCTGTTAATGCCAGTACAGAGCAGAGGTACTCTCTACTTGTGCTGTCAGCCTGTAGGGGACAGGTAGAATAGAGTCCTTGGGCTTGGCTCCCAAGACAGCTGGCATGCCTCCCTTTTAACAAACTAGGCACTGAAGTTTCTGAACTGCAGTCCTAAAACATTAATATGCTTAGAAGGTAGTGTATATAATACATGGAGTGTTACTCTAACATCCTTTAAAAAATGTTGGCTGTTGATCTCAGGAAAAAGAACCTCTTGTACAGTTAGATACTAGCACTGTTACAAACTTGAATTTCAGATACCAGGGTGCATTTGTGCCTGAATTGGGGGTGTAGGAGTGTAAGCACTGCAAAACACCTCTGCTCCCTTTTGAGAACCACAAAAATTGATGAATAGTGCACTGTTTTCAAAGCTTGCATGCAGCTTTCTCTATAGAGGAAATTGGGGCCATTTCGGCTTCTCATTGCATTGGCTTATAAGGTTTCACAATATCTAAACTGTGCTGACACTCAAGAGTTTTAGTGAAGGAATGTTCCTGGTCCTGGTGCTGTTTTGGCTTGAGATTCGGCTATTCTCAGAAATGTAGGCAAACCCTGAGTCACAATGCAAGAGAGAGAGGAGACACAGTTTTGTCCAATTCCTTTGCTTTCAGCAGGACTTTTAGCTGTATTGAGCTCTTGGACTATTTCTGTCACCGTTACAAAAACAAAATCTTTGAAAGAGGCATGGGTGCTTATTTAAAACTTCCCTGCTCTCCAGCAGACAGCTGCTGATTATATATATTTTAAACCCTCTCTGGTGCTTTAACGTGCCCATCATCCAGCTGATGGGGTTATATTTAAAATGCCTCAGTGCCAGCCAGATGATGCGCAGATGGTGTTTAAAACACCAGATAGCATTTTAACAAAATAAAAGGAATGTGCTTGTCATATGGCTGATGGGGGAGACCTTTAGAAGACACCACCACTCTTCTATGCTCAAATACTTACTCCATCACAGGCAATAGTCTCCATTTAAAAAACAAATAAAAGTAATTAATCTTTTCAGTATGCTTAAAAGAAGAAGAAGCAAATCTCCATGGTAGAAGATAGTTTTGTTTTCAGAAAGCCTCAGACATCATATTGGTTTTTTCATGTTTGGAGAGCAGTACTCAAGCATAGATCCAAATTGTCATTGTCATTTGGGAGCCGCCATTTTAGACCAGCCCAAGTTCTATTTTTATTCCAATTGAATTGGCCTCAAAAAAAATATTGCAAAGGCCATGTCGTGAATTTACTGAACTCTCTGCCTTTTAATGGCCCTGCAGAATAGAGGGAGTGGGAAGGAGTGCTAGGAATGCAAGACTCAAATATTTGTTGTAGGTTGCAGACTTTCACTTGAATTTTATATTGCACACAATGGGGGCAATTCTATGGCAAGCTTAGGCTGCAAAAGATGTCTGGCTCAGCTGACTGATGCTCAACTCAGCTGGTGGTTAGTCCCCAATCCTGTTGCTCGTCCCAGCTCAGCCAGGGCTCAGCCAGCTGAGATAAAGCTGGTTGAGCCAAGACCAGTGACCCAAAAGGGTCACTCTGGAGGTGTGATGGGAACAATAGGAGAAAGGAGGCACTTAGGCTGGATCCTAAACCCAGGTGGATCAATCAAGCAACCTGGTAGGCTTAGGACACTGTTTGAGCAACTGGGTTAATTTACAGCGGATTGCTTTATACATGCTTCTTGTTCATAGAACTGCTCCCAAGGAAGTGAATTCTGTGATTGATACATCTAGATTGATAGCTTTTAACCTTACTGAAGAAGTGGGTTCAATGTTGTGTTGTTGTTGTTGTTGTTGTTGTTGTTGTTGTTTTATTTTATTTTCGATTTCTTCACCTAACATCACAGGGCAAGTTAAAACAATACAAAAAGACAATATTAAAAATTCAGTTAAAGCAATTTACAGCCCATATAAAGACTATATGTCTATCTTTCCCCTTTCCTTCTCTCTTCATCTTTCTCCTTTTCCCTTCTTCTTTAGAAGAAGGCAAATATTTATGCCACATGGTGTGACATTTCTATGGGATAGAAAGATTCAAATGTGCATGCCCACACAAAAACACATATTAAAAGAGATGGGGAAGAACAACTCACGATACAGGCAACGTGAAATGTTTTGTGATGGAACACTTCAGAAGTGACGGCATGGCACTGATTTCTCTTTATCAACAAGATGCTAATCTGCTGCTCATTGGATTCACGAAGTCATAGCAGTTATCCCATTTAAAACTGAAACATCTATCTGGGCAAATCACAAACTCCTTTTCTCCCAAAGCAATTTGAATAATGAATCCAACCTTTATGGGCTAATCAAACTAATTCTCTGTACACCTATGTAGTCCACTCCAATCAGTTTCCTCCTTCTTCCTACAGGTTGACTTGCATGGCCTGCTGTGGGAGTCTTGCTGCTCTTTGGCATATAAGCACGGCAGAATTCAAAGGATAAGCACTAGTTACCGTTTACCAGCACAGCATATGACTTGCCTCCACACCTTTCACTGATTAGTCATAAGAATGGAAATTGCCACAAATCACATCTTTGCATATGCACATGTTCTCTAACATTTATTTACAGCTAATACTGCGGTCTTCATCACCTCCTCAACATGCCTTCCAATGATTCTGAAATTGCCCTGTCAATAATCATCCATTTGGGGGGTGACAGATGAGTTCATAGTCATGATTCAAATACCATTTTTTTAATACTCAGGTTGACTCATAATACATGTAGATGCCTGTGTTGTGACAACCCTTATCACAAAAATTATAGATGCCCACATTCACTGTAACCTTTCTAGCCCTCTGCAGATAAACCTTCTGAAATGAATGTGTTGAAAAGGAAGGTCAGTCAAGACAGCAAGGAACAGTCAATTCTTCATTGCTATAAAGTATGAATTCTGTAGATACCATGCTGTTAATTTGATCTGACATCTTTTGTGAGATCCATGAATAATTTCTCATACAGGTAAAATGAATGACTTTATATTAATGACTTAAAGAAAATTTCAAAAAAACCTAATCATTTTTTGAATGTGTCTCTCTTTTCTTTGGAAAAGTTTTCTTTCAAGTCAGTCTGAAATTTTAAATTATGTGCATCATTCAGAACTTCAGAATAAGACGTATTACATACAAACAGTAAAACTGCTAAGATGAAAAACAAGATAAATTGATATAAGATATCATGTTCTTGGTTAGACACCCAGTAGCTGTGATTTCCTTGAATTACTGTACATGGGAAGTATCATATATGTAGCCCTCTTCAATAACTGTAATCGGGTGTTAACGAAACGCATATGAGAGCAGTGGGGACTCACACACCAGCTGTGCCTTCTATTGCCCTCCAACTGGGTTAGAGGCCCTACTGGTGGTGCCACTGCTGGAAGCTGCCTGATGGAGCTGACCCATGGCACAACCTTCTCAGTGGCAGTTCTCTGTTTGTGGAATGCTCTACCTGGCGAAGTGCACCTATTTACCTCAAATTAACTTTAATAAGTGTCAGGCGTGGAGTATCCTCTCAGAGGCAAGAAGAACATAAAGTTCATATTTTATGACTTTTTATTCAGTCATCTGGTTGCAAGACAGAAGATCCATGTCTCCACACATAGGAGACATTGACTACTCTGAGGCCCTCCTATTCCGTCTCCCACAACCAGTGCTTTTTTTCCTGGGGGTACGCATACCCTTAAACATTTTGTGAATCTTTGTACTTTTGTCCATTTACTGTATTTATTTTTCCTGATTTGAACTATAAAATGGTGGTTTTCTTGAGTCAAAATGAGATTACCCCTAAACATGTTTTTTAGAAGAAGAAAAAGCACTGCCCACAACATCCTGGAAAACTATGGGAAGTCACAGAAGTCACATCCCTCCTGCTTCTCTGTTCTTGAATGCAGAGGGACCGACGAGCACTTGGTCCAAGAGGGTCTCCCAAAGTCTCCAGAGAGGTTTGTAGCTGGATATTTCCTCATTCAGCTCTTCACCATCCCTGTCTCCCTCTCCTCCTGAATCTGCTGGAGACTGAGGGGGCGGGGCTTCCCACTCCTCCTCTTCTGAGAAGAGCCATTCAGACTGAGGGCTCATTTTCCATTCCTCCTGTTCAGTCCAGTCGCTGACAATGAGGAACTTACAAACATTCCTTTTGATCTAGGCCAGGCATCCCCAAACTTGGCTCTCCAGATGTTTTGGGACTACAACTCCCATCATCCCTAGCTAACACAACCAGTGGCCAGGGATGATGGGAATTGTAGTCCCAAAACATCTGAAGGGCCGAGTTTGGGGATGCCTGGTCTAGGCATTTCAATATACTGTTCCCCAAATCCTTGAAATTATGTGATTGTTTTGAAAGTTTTTAGATGTCCTTTCAATATGTTTAGATGTGGGTGAGATGAAAAATTAACAACACTAACTGCTGTACTCAAGGAAGCTGTGGGTTTTATAAAGCATGTTTTCCAGGATCATAAAATCTGCAGGCAGCCTCCAGAAACACAGAAGGCTCCACACTTCAGGTGCTTTCCTTCCATGAGTAGAAGAGCAGAGGGAAAACCAATGGGGGTGGCTTGTCCCTGT